CATGGTGTCCCCGGTCACTGTGGTGAGTGCGCGAGCGCGCGCGCCGCGGCCGGAGCTCCCCCGGGCCTGGGACGAGTCAGCGGCCAGCCGGGCCGCCTGGGGAGCCGAGGAAGCTGGTGCCCCTCCTGGGGAATCGCGGCTGTCACGGTCCCTTGCTGCTCACTCACGCGGCACTCCTCCTTCTAGCGCCCCCCGTCTGCCCGCGGGAGGGAGGAAAACATTGTGCACGTGACTCGGAAGCGTGACTTTGTTGATCCATGTGTGTCTGGAGCGGGTCTGCGGGTCTTGGCCTGGGACTGGACGCAGCAGGCCTCTGGGTTCGGCATGGTGGGACCTCAGAGAAGCGTTCGAGAGGGTGTGTGTGTCGGAGCGGGTGGGGGGGGGTGGGGGGAAGACTTCTTGAGAATCCTGCCCCAAGTTCGTTTCCTCGTTATCTTGTAGGCGCAGGAGGCGACGCCTCAGTCTAAGCAATATTGTTAAGGCGCTAGGTGACAGTGGACCGCTCTCTATTGGCTTGACCTCCTTTTCAAACTTTAACTCTAACCTTTGTCTTGTCTCCCCATCCTTCTAAGGCTGGCTTCTCTGCCGTGATTTCACCACCTACTGCTAGTTTCTTCTAGAAAATAATGAATCTGGGCAATGAGGGAAGAGCAAAATTGACGTTCCGAGGGCTGACAGGTGGAGCTGGGCATCCCTGCGGGGCTCCTCCCTCAACTATGCTCTCAGCCTGACTATTCCTGATAAGGGTGGGAATGGGAAGGGAGTGTCAACTCTGCTCTCGTCTCTCACTTCTGACAGAAAAAGAGCAGGTTATTCTCTGGACCCACTGTATGTATCTTCTCTACCCATCCCCAGTCGCATCAGGTACCGGATTGCCTGGGTCTCTGAGTGTGTCCTCACAATCCTGTGTAGAATAGCTTGCTCACCCAGCCAGAGCACTTTCCCTGGAGTTTGGGGTCTATAGGGAACCCCAGCTGCTCCAATTCACCCCCAATTCGTCCTCCAATTCACCTGAACTAGCAAACCCAAGAGGAGCTTCAGGAGATCATAGAACATCTGCAGACTCTCTTCCCCCATCTCGGACTGTGCCTGCAGTGGCCTTGAGTAAAACCTTTCTTTAGCTGCCCTCCCCCTAATCCAACTGAGACCCAGTCAGCTGTGCCAACTTCCCCCTCTCAGTTCCCCATCTCCTCCCAGCCTGTCTGCTGGCTCCAGATCAGAAGCTGGGACAAGAAGCTCTCCCCACCCCCCTTCCTGTCTTTAGTGCCTCAAGTTGCTCTTGTTCTCTGGGAAAAGAAATGGCCAGCCCCCCCCCCCCCCCCCCCGTGAAAATTTTGGGGTTTTAAGCACTGTTTATTGGTCTCAATAAAAATCTATTTCTCCCCCCAGCGTCCCAAGCACCTCTCTTTGTCCTTGATGCCACCTTTAGTCTAACACAGGTATAGTGGAAGCTGAGGGGCAGACTGGGCAGGACGGAAAGCCCGTGGGGCAGAGGTACTGTCTGTCACTCTTCTACATTCCTGGCCCTCACCTGGTGTTGCCAGGGCTCTAAGCTTGAATCCTGGCTCCAAAGCTGGGATCATGAGTTAGTCAGTCAGTGTGTTTCTGTGCTTTCTCTCTGACAGTGCTCCAATCCCACACAGCTGGGAGCTGAGGACAGTGACGCTGACCACTGGGCGCGGTGCTGAGGGACCCCTCTAGGAGTGGTGGGGTGGAAGCCAGAAGAGAGCAGCACTAGGTTGTAGAAGGGGGTATCCTCATATTCACTGGTAGTCCCATGAATAACTATTCTGGCCCAGCCCCAGGGCCGAGAGTGGACGAGAGTGACGGGACCGTGGAGCCCTTGCCTGTCCTGGTAAATGGAGCCTTAGGATGATAATGACTCCGTTCACATCCTGCTGACTGGTTGGAGCCGGACAGGCTAGGTTTCTCTGTCAGTCCTCCTTGTTCTGAGCTGTAAAGGGCTAGTGTATGCACTGTAGCCTAGGGGAAAGGTGCTGGGTTGTACATCCCTCCGTGGGCTTCTGTGCTGCCCACCTCTGAGTGTTGCCCTTGTCCTCTCTCTTCCAGGTGAAGAGTGAGGGACCCAAACTGGTGCCCTTCTTTAAGGCCACCTGCGTGTATTTTGTGCTCTGGCTGCCCTCATCCAGTCCATCGTGGGTCAGTGCCCTTATCAAGTGCCTGCCCATCTTCTGCCTCTGGCTTTTCCTTCTGGCCCATGGCTTCAGATTCCTGCTGGCCCACCCCAGTGCCTCCCTCATCTTTGTGGGGCTCGTCTTCTCTGCCGTGGGCGATGCCTTCCTCATCTGGCAGGACCACGGCTACTTTGAGTATGGTCAGTAGTAATAGGAGTTGCCTGGGAGGGTGCCTGGGGCTGGAGGAAACGGAGGGTCTTTGGGGTTGGGGTAGGGGAAGGCTTTGGAAGAAGGGACAGGGAGTTGGAGGGTTTCCGAGGCTGGGGACTTCGGTCTTCTGTTGGAGGAGGACCAGTTCTCTAAGGGAGCACGTGAGGGTGGATTTAAAACTATGGGTCTTCCTACACCCTCTTAGTCCCAGAGCAAAGCTGATGGGTTATCCCCAGTCCCATTCCCTTCACACAAGTACTCACTAGTCACCGAGCCTGCCTTTAGCATACTTTATCCCCTCTCGCTTCCAGGTCTCCTGATGTTTGCTGTGACGCACATCCTCTATGCTTCGGCCTTTGGCATGCGGCCTCTGGCTCTCCGGACAGGTCTGGTGATTGCAGTGCTGTCTGTCTTGTGCTATGCCCTGCTCTACCCAGGACTGTCAGGTGCCTTCACCTACCTGGTAGGGGTCTATGTGGCCCTCATCAGCTTCATGGGCTGGAGAGCTATGGCAGGGTTGCGGCTGGTTGGGGCAGCCTGGCGATGGACGGAGCTGGCGGCCGGCAGCGGGGCCCTGCTTTTCATCATCTCAGACCTGACCATCGCTCTCAACAAGTTCCGCTTTCCTGTGCCCTACGCTCGGGCCCTCATCATGTCCACCTACTACGCTGCTCAGATGCTCATTGCCCTGTCAGCTGTCGAGAGTCGGGAGCCGGTGGAAGACTATCGGCTGAGCAAGTCCAACTGAAGGAGAGACTGGGGTCTGTTCACCTTCCTCCTGGGGCTGGAGCCCAGACTCTGGGAGTGTGCAGGAGCTGGATCAGCAGGCACTCCCTGGGAAAATTGGCAGGCAGGCGGCAAGGGGTAAGCAGGAGGCGCTCCCAGGAAAGCTGATAGTCCAGGAGAACACTGAGAGCTCAAAGAGGCAGCTTCATCCCCTTGCCTAATTCAGAGCAGCCCTCTCAGCGTCCCATCAGGACTGTCCGAGCCCTCCTGGAAGGCGATGGTGCTTTTTGACCCCTCATTTTTTTTTTTTCTAGTCAGAAGAGTGTGACTATCTCTTATCCCTAGGACCAATTGCCAAGCTCACCCTCTTCCACCTTTTCTCTCCCAAGATGACCCAGGACCAGAGCTTGAAGCTTCTTCCCCAGGCTCCCCGTTGGAAGATTGGTTGAAGGTGGATCTAGTTTTCCTTTGTCTAGCCTTGTTACTTTGCCGGACTCAGTCTTCAAGTGCTGAGTGGATGTCTTTCTATGAGGTGGTAGAGGGAGCTTCCTTCACAGGCCATTCCAGAGCTCAGGCCTCAGGCTCTGTCCCCAGGGCTAGGGTGAACCATGCCAAAGGAAGGGGCTGGTCCCAGCTATATGTCTTTGCCCTGCTGTCTGTAAAGGTCTTAAAGTAGTGGGCCTTGGAGAGCTCCTCAGGGGTGCTTAACCTGGCTCACAGCTGGGGGCCTCCCCCTAGCACACCATCAACCACGCTTTCTTCCTGCCCTGGGAGTAAGTTCCGACAATTTGGGGTCTTAAGACCCAAGGCACAGTCAATGCAAGGGGAGTAAGGGTGGGGTAACTCCACCCTTTACTGCCCGTATGAAAAAATAAAATAAAATTAAACTCAAGGGCTGTTGGCTTCCTAACTTGTCTGCCTGTGTGGCACGTGCCTGTGCTGGGCAGGGGTGGAGGCATGGTGCCAGGAGCCCTGGTTGTCCTCAGAGTCTGGGTCATAGTTGTCTCCTTGGCTTGGCTTGGCCATCTTGGCACCTAGCTGGCTCCCTGGCTGTGCTGACACTACTTGTTTCAGTGAGTCTCACTTCCCTGGTCGTGTGTGTGTGTGTGTGTGTGTGTGTGTGTGTGTGTGTGTGTATGTATACACCCCCCCCCCCCCACGGTTAGAGGTCAAGAGAGTGGGGGATGGGTAGTGTCTTGCTTTTGTCTGCCCTTGTCCTTGACATAGTCCCCTGTGTATAGGTGCTTAGTTGTCTTGGTAACCCTTAACTATGCAGTTGCTGCATTACCCTCTCTCCTGTCCACAGGCCAGACCAACTGCTTCTCTAAGTGATGCAGACTTCTATTGTATCCTCTCCTCCTTGGACTCTGGGTTTAGTTGAACAGCAGAGAGGAATGGGATGAGATTTGCTGGTTCTTACTCTAGATCTGAAGCCCCAGCAGAACACTGTTCTGCCACACTCCAGAGGCATTCGGATTTTAACAGGCAGTACTTAGTCCTGAAGTAGAAAATATCGGTGGTGA